CCCACTTTATTCTTGTGCAATTACCTACAATACATGAAAGAAAGCCTCAAGCAGGCAAAATGTCAATGCTATCAGTAGCTTACACAAATTTAAAGATATATAAGAAGACTAAAATTTTCGAGTACACCAATAATCACGTTCTTAACATAATCAGCCACGTAAACTGTATCAATTCCAACCTAACCAATTAGCTACCTCAAGTCCCACCACCACAGCCTCCGCCAAATCTAGTAGCAAGTCCATCCCATCCACGAGCATTGCATCTCCACCACAAGCACTTTCTCTGGCTGTATTAAATCAACAAAAAAAGGATAAAAACTACATAGAATACACATCAACATATATATAACAGAAAATTGAAAATTGGCCCTAAAAACAAACCTTTGCAATTCTCTCTAAAATCCATAATCAAGTTCAAAGATAATGAAATAATATATCCACATAACACTTCATTTCCAAAACAACCTCATAACCAACATTATCCGAAATAGACATTACTTCAAGATCAAGCAATGATGGCATTTGTTCTTGGAGCACCAAATTTGAATTAATTCCAGAAACATCATAGAAGCCATCAATTACTTTCTCGTCATAATTTAAAACACTATAGCAGTTATGAAGTCTCAACAGATATCTAACTGGCATATAAACATCCAAGTTATCTTGAGCAAACATGAACATCCAAAGCATGGAAAATAAAAGATTATATTAGGAAATGCAAATTACCTCAGGCTCACTACCATAAGAATTAAATATTCTCATGGTAAAATCCGTGCAATTGATGCCAGGCAATGCAAATATCACTCCATCAGCTCCAATGCCAAAGTTTCTGTCATAGAATTTCAAAGCTTGCTCTAGAGTAATTTTAGGCTCCATTGAATCTCGATTATCAAACTTATCAAATCGACAAACCATCAATGTCAAAAATCTCATATTGTCAATTTTAAATTGTCGAAGTTTCCCATAAATCATCAAACAGAATTTATGCGTACAAGTAAACACAGATAAATATGCACACACAAATATTCAGGTTATGCGAAACTTACGAGTATGAAATCATTTCCGAGTCTATGATACTTGACAAAGTGAAGAACACCACTTTATCTACGATGGGGAAACGAATCGGGAGAAAATTTCTCAGGAGCCTCGATGCCCATTGAAGCAAAAATGTGGGAATTAGGTTTCCGATTAGCAGAAATTGGAAGCATTTGGTGAATGTCTGATTGAAGGCAAAACAAAGAAGAGAATTGAGAGGAATTGAAAGAAGAGTGTGAAAATGAGCAAAGATTAATGGTGGCGAACGGCAGCGGCTATTGCCATCGATATCAGCAAATTGAAGGAAATGGAGACTGTTGAAGTCAAACTGGAGTTATTAGAAAAGAACGTATTTTACTCTTTATTTGTAAAGCGTTTTATTTTTCAATTTTCTTATTTTTGGGCAGTAATGGGCCTAATTTACTCAATTAATTATCAATTTTTCGAATATTCGAGTAAAAAAAAATTTGGGAAAAAGTCCCAAACCTTTCATTTTGTTGCAGATTACACCCAAACCTTTAATTTTTGAGGTCGAAGTCTCAAACCTTTATATGTAATTGCAGCTTCGATCCCAACCTTTTATATAATTGCAACGTCGGCCCCCAATCTTTAATTTTTCCAGGTGAAGTCTCAAACTTTTATATGTAATTGCAGCGTCGGTCCCAAATTTTGAATTTCGTCCATAAAACCGTTAGTCAACGTTCACACGGTAATTTTGACTTGGAAAATTTACAGCTCCTGTCCCAAACCTTTTATTTTGTTGTTAATTACACCAAAACCTTGCATTTTTGAGGCCAAAGTCCCATACATTTATATGTAATTGCAGCATTGGTCCATTTCACGCATTCCATCCAAATAACATGTCATAAAAATAATTATCAATTCGACCATTATAACAAATGAGATCGAATTGTTATCTGATCACATAGTTATCGATGGCTGTGAAAAATTGAAGGATTTGAAGAAGATAAATATTTTTTTTATAACTTGTTTTGACA